GGCGGGTTTCTTCTCTCGGCTTGGAAAAGCGTTAAGTGATCTGGTTTAAAGGCTTTGCTGTGATTAATTTTTTAAATTGATACAGCGGCGTTAATCGGGATGGTTTCTGCAGTGGCATGCGATTGGGAAAATGCCGGTCTGTATTCCTTTGTCAGAGGCATAAGCAAGCAAGAGTGTGAACAGCATTTATCAGAGAAATGGGGCCTCGTTTTCAGTGGCTTCTGTGGCTTCTTTCATCTTGATGAAATTGGAAGCTTGTGTTGGAAGTCATGTTACTCTTTTGTCTGCGTGTTTTGGTCATTATGCTCTGTGCAATTCAAAGGAGGTCAGAGCTTTTACACTGGGCTTCTTTTGGCAAAAGGAGTAAAATAGGGGGGTGTCATTCCCTTAATATTTCTTTGTGTTTGGATTTTTTTAATCTGCTGCTGCTGCAGGTCAGCAAATAGGTCTTCCTGTTGTGTTTGAATGGGTACAAAATAATGCAAAAATAAAGGTGGATGCACATGAAAGCAAAACTCTCTGGCAGTCATGTTGGGCTTCAGTGTGCACCATTGTGCTTATCCCTGAAGAGTGTTTCTGAGCGTTTTTGCAAAGACCATACATACCATGAATTTGGGCCGTATTTGGATACCACTTAATGAAGGATGGATGCTGATGAACAAATAGCATGGGCTGGAACTTGTTTTTCTAAGCTGTAGCTTGTAACTGAATGGTGTGGCTTTTGTTTGTCTTCAAAGATATCCTCTGCTGCCTGTGGTTACGGCTTCACACTGCTGTCCTCTAAAACCACAGACATCACCAAAGTGTGGGGCATGGGGCTGAACAAGGATTCCCAGCTTGGATTCCAGAGAAGCAGAAGAGATCGAAGTAAGACTTGAAATTTTCTAAAGGCTTACAGGGTGGGACTGCAGGATGCATGTGATGTGGGAACCTGCGTTAGGAGGCATGGGAAATGCCCAGGAGGCTTTGATGCGGAGTGTGGGGCTGAGCTTTTTGTTGTTTTGGGGTTTAAGAGGTCTTTTTTTGGAACTTGGCAGTGGTTTTGTGTGCTTTGTAACTGGTCAAGGTATGCATCCGTTCTAAGCACTGCGCTTCCATTCTTTCCTGGATTTAACTAAAATCTAAGTGATATTCTGCAGAAGTGTGTGCGTGTTGGTTAAGGTCTTGCTTTGAATCTCTGTGGTTTGGTAGCAGACAATGTAATGGACTAGTTAACAAAATGGTTTTGGCAAGATGATTTGCTCGCTTCTGTTGCCTTTGCACTTACAAACTAGTTTCTTTTTCAACAGATCTTCTTATACAGTCAGTGGAATCTTTTGTGAAGCAGTAGCAGTTTTTTACTTTAGTGGCAAGTTGCATTTTGAAGGAAAAACATGTTATTCAGTCATTTTGTCTTAAATGTGTTTGAAAGCCTGGTATAAGGGGATGATTTTGTGCGGAACATTGCCACCTTCCACCTAAGACAGATGTGGAAACTTACTTCCCTTATAGAATGGCTGTCTCTAATGGTTTGAAAACTTTCCTCCGTAAACAACTGGGAAAACCACGTTAAAAGCAGTTTTTCTCTTTATAATGTGTGAGAGCATAATCCCTTAAGGTATGGCACATCTGATATGATCAAGAGATTGAACTTTGTGGAGAAGCAAAAGACAGTTGCAGCTGTGCAGAATGCTGCAGTTCCAGCGGTGCTGCTGTCCTGCATGGCTGCAGGCACACTGTGCAGCCTTCCCGGCGTCCGTGCTTCAGCAGCAGCTGTGGGTGACGGGCCTGCAGGAGCCTCCACTCGCTGCTGCTTTTGAAGGTCTCAGCTCTTACTGCTGTGCGCGCTGATGTCTCAGGACTGTCTTGTCGTTGTCTTGTTTTTCATAAGACCTGCAGGTTGTTATTGCCAGAGAATCCAGAAATTAATTAAACAGTTTTGCAGTTCAAGCCCTTTTAAGTAAGAGGGTTTTCAGCATTTGGTAGGATCTGTCGGAGGTGCGGTGCAGGTCAGGGATTGCTGCTGCTCCGTATTTACCTTCCCATAGACAAGCTTCCTGTGGGATGTGCTGCTTGTTACTTAGTTTTACAGACTGACTTTGGTACCTGCTAGTTCCAGCACTGTGTCCCTGTAGATGCTTCTTTTCCAGTGTAATTGCAACCTTCTGACTTTCAGATGGTTGTATTTCATGCTTCAGCTATTTCTAAGCTAAACTGCTAATACTTTACTCTCACCCTCCTCTTCTTTAGTTATCCTGTTGCCTCTCTTCTCCAAAATCCCTCAGATCTCAGCGATGATTACCACAGATCCCAGTAGCTTCTGTTGCTCTGCTGGAAGGAACAGAGAGAGAGAAAAAGGTTTTTTGCGCTGTGACTTCCACGTCTCTTTAGACAGATCTAGACTTCACGGCCTTTCAGTTCCTGCTGTATCGCTTGGCGGGCTCCCACCATTTGCAATTCTGGGATTTTTTAATTGACAGCAGTGAGAACTAGTTATAGCACTGCAATGTGTGAGCAGAATACTGCTTTGGGTCCTCTGGGATTTGATTTCACTTGGTGCAGTGGCTTTCCTTGATATCAAAGCTTTTTATCTCCCCTTAACCTTTTCCCTAGTACTGATTTATGTTTTGCTGGTTTTTTGTTGCTTTTTTTTTTCCCAGTTGACTGTGCTGATTACATATTCTTCAAGTTACTAAGTCTTCTTTTTCTAGTACAGCTTGTCATTTTTCTTCGTCGACGTTAGATCTCTTATCCCCTCCGGAGCCAGGCTAGCTAATGTTTCTTGCATTCCTTTCTTCTGAAGGGGCCTTTAATCTACTGTTCTTTAAATGTGATACCCTAAGATATTTTTGTTCACCTTTCAAGCTGTCTTTTTGTGATTGCAGCTATTTTACCTTGTTTGCACTGTCCCCAGTTGCACGGGGTGCTTAGTTTGTACTTGGTGTTAAGCTCTCTGGTAATCCAGCCTTATTCACCAAGGTAGTTGAACGTGGCTGAAGCCTCGATTTCTCAATTCTGGCCACCTGAAATCCTAATGGCATTCAGCCTCCAGGTATGGTGGGCTTTTGATTAGGCAGTGATTACTGGCTTCAACCATCCCTAGGGCTTTTAACTGCTTCCCCATCCCACAATGGATCCCGGTCAGCCTCTTTTACTTTGGTCTCTTGGCTTTCTAAAATACATCTGCTTTTATAACAAAATAGAAATGACTGTGTGTATTTACAGCATGATCGACAAGTAGATGACGAATTTGCTTTGTGGAAGCTACTGACTTTTTAATTTTCTCTCCCTTCCTTAAGCTAAGGGCTATGAATATGTCTTGGAACCATCTCCAATTCCATTACCCCTGGAGAAGCCGCAGCAGACTCGAGTCTTGCAGGTGTCCTGTGGGAGAGCCCATTCCCTGATCCTGACAGACAGTGAAGGAGGTATAGTATTGCTTGGGCTGGTGACAAGGGACGCCTGACTGTGCTTTTATTAAAGGCCCTGAAAAAGATTGTCTGCTGTCCTTTAGAACTAGACCCCAGACGGGCTGGCTGCGTTGTCAATGTGATGCAGGGAGCTGCTGGCCTTTTTTTGGGATTGCTCCCGGGAGGGGGAGCCCTGAGCTGGTAACCACGTGCTGAGCTCTGCTCGGCTCAAGCTGTAAATGTGTTCACTGCCAGCGTTGCACAGTGTGGTTTGTTCATCTGGCCTTGGGCCTCGCTCAAGTGTAGCCTGTTTGTCTGGTTCAGTCAGACGTGTTTTGGAATTTGGTTGTGGATGGCTATGCCCATACTCCTGTGGTACTTTCCCCTTGAAGCCCCGGAGTGCTACACTTAGGAATGATAAATGAATAGGCCTTTATACAGAAGTTCCTGGAGGTGAATTGGCTCTCCACGTCTCTGGGAGTTCCTGGTGCTGTGGCTTCAGTGCTGTGCTGAGCGATCCAGTGCTGCTTATCCGTGGGTGAGCTGCTTGGCTGTTGATGTAACGCTCCTGCGGGAGCGCTGATCTCTTTCCGAGTCTCCTTGGCAACGCGGGCTGAACGAGGCAACAGCTGAAAAACAGCCAGGGGGCTCCAGGTACCGCTGCTGTGACAGCACTGCTGTGCCTGCAACGCTGTCGCCGGGCCGTTGTGGGTGAAAATGGATTCAGTCACTTAAATTTCAGCGGATTTGGTTTGAAGAAAGCTTATGTCCATTTTTACAGTACGGTGTTCCACCTTTCATACTGATAACAGCAGGAAAGTATTTTGTCTACCTGAAAAGAGGCTGTCAGGGGATTGAGCAGTAATAAAACCAGTGCATTTTGTCATTGTTTTTCAGTTTTCACAATGGGGAACAATTCTTACGGACAGTGTGGCCGGAAGATTGTTGAAGATGAAACTTACAGGTGAGAGTCCAAAGATCCTGAACTTCCTTAATGTTAAAACCATAATTGCATGAAAACAACCCAGTAGAAAAGCCTGGAGGTAGGACAGATCTGGTAGTATAAGGATGCCGTTTAAGATTAAGGAGTCTGAGAACAGGCTTTCATGCTGCAGGCGTCATGTAAGCAGCCTGGCTTTGAACCCAGGCTGGGCACTGGCGCTGTTCTGACCACGTTCACAGAAGACAGAAAGATGTCAGCATGTGACAGTTGTCACAGGGCAGAATGAGAAAACCCAACCTTCATAAATTGCTTGAGGTAATTGGTGTTAGTAGTCAGTCATTCTCCCTTTAGCCTTTCAGAGTGCAAGTGCTAGTTCTGAGGGTGTTAGAAATGCCATTTAATGATGAAAGACACGTCCTTTTGTTGAATCTCTTTGCTGTAACTGCCTTTGAATCTGTAGTGCTTTTCTTTTATAGGCTTTTTGTGAGCCACACCAAAGCATATTCTCAAAATGATCTGTAAGACAGTAGTGATGTGAGTGGATAGTGGGAACATGCCGCAAGTTACTGATTCCCTGGCAGGGCCTAGAAGAGGTTTTGCTTGTTGCACACTCTGTGATCCACAAGACTTGGCCTGTAGAGTTTAAGAAAATAGCTGTTATTTAGTTAGCTTTTTTTCATCTTGATACTGGAAGTTAGTCATTGGATTGTTCAGAATTCCTCTTTTTGTGAAAGAATGGCATGGGTGTTAACACAACGCTGTTTGTGTTCTGGGACGCCTGGTTAATCTCTCGTTAAGTGTAGTGTTTGTGTAGGTGCTGCAGTATTACCTAGTGTCTGTGCGCATTCTAGACTAGGGAACATGTTTGAGGAATGCTCCCACCCCCAATTCCCATGAGAGGTTATATTTAAAAAGTGGCAGTTGTTGAATTCTTAAATAAGAGAATGCAAAATTACTTTCCTTCTTTATGCAGTAATTTTACAGTGGAACTATGCTCTTTGAATATATAAGAGAACATGTGAAAGAATCTCTCTTTTTGTAACGGCAAAGTGGCTTTCAGTACAGGCACGTCTGCCTTCACATTTTTCAGTTGCAGTCCTCTGAAATCCTCTGTGTCACCTTTTCTCTTCTCGGTGGCGGTTTGGTGGTGTCCAGTGAAAGCCATCTAATTCATCAGCTGAAGGAGTTTGACAGCAGAGTCGTCCAGGTAAGGGGATCATCTGAACTGAATTCTGAAGGTGGACTGAAAACTGGCTGAAGAGCCGAGCTCAGAGGGTGGTAGTCATTGTCACGAAGACTAGTTGAGTGCCAGTAACCAGTGCTGTATCCCAGGGGTCAGTACTGGGTCTGATCCTGTTTAACATTTTCACAAATGATCTGGATGATGGGGCGGAGTGTACGCTCGGTGAGTTTGCAGATAAAACGAGGAGGAGTGGATACACCAGAGGGGGTGCTGCCATCCAGCGGGGGGTACCGTGGGCTGCATTAGGAGGGGTGTTGCCAGCAGGTGAAGGGAGGTGGTCCCCTCCCTTCTACACAGCACACCGTAGTGAGGCTGCACTCGGGGTACTGTGTCCATTTCTGGGCTCCCCAGTACAAGAGAGATGCGGACATACTGGAAAGAGTCCAATGAAGGGCTGTTAAGGTGATGAAGGGACTGGAGCATCCCTCCTGTGAGGAAATGCTGAGAGAGCTGGGACTGTTGAGCCTGGAAAAGTGAAGGCTGGGGTTGTGTCTTGGCAGTGTGTATCGGTGCGTGAAGGGAGGGTGCACAGAGGACAGAGCCAGGCTCTCTTGGGACAAGAGGCAGTGGGCACAGAGACACAGAAGGTTCCCGGTGAACATCAGGAAACACTTTTTTGCTGTGACTGAGCACTGATACAGGCTGCCTAGAGATGTTGTGGAGTCTCCTTCCTTTGAGATACTCAAAAGGCCTCTGGACGTGGTCCTGGACAACTGGCTGTAGGTGGCCCTGCTTGAGCAGGGCGTTGGACCAGATGGCTTTCAGAGGTTCCTTTTAAATTTGGCCAGTCTGTGATTCTGTAGTGAGAAAAAACAGAAAAATCGGTATGCAGATCAGTCTGAAATGACAAGGTGATCTGCTCTATGGTTGATTACAAAAAGCACAAGGAGGCGTTTTGCTCGGTGCCTCTGCAGAGCACTTGTGACTGGCAGTGCAGGGTCTGAGCTTACTGACGAATGCGAGGGGAATGCCAGCACGGCGTTTGCTTGCTGACTTCTGGGTAAGGCCTGCACGGCAGCGAGGCTGTTCTGCGGCCACGTCTCCTCCTGTCCTGGTTTCTTCTGATGGCTGCAGTATTTCCAGGCACAGGAGCAGTTCACTGGTATGTCTGTGCCACTGTAGCAGTACTCTGTGGGCAAACACTGCTCCTGTTCCATGCAGCATCCTAGAAAGCAAGGGTCATTCATTTAGGTCCGCATGACGAGAGTGTGCTGTGGTACATCCTAATGATGTTTTGAATTAGGCTTGTAAACCTTTGGATTTTTCATTGGTTTTGTTTTAAGGGGATTGAATAATTGGTACCTGTTTGTACTTCGATGAGAGCAGTTACGTGCCTAATATTCTTGGTAGTCACTCTCTTGTGGATTAATCCCTTTAATCTTTGGCTAATTTTTGATGTCTGCTTTTGAAGATCTTGGCTTTAATTCATGCCAAGCCTCTGGCAGACATGATTGCTAGTTCAACATAAATGTCAGTTTGAGAACAGATGAGTTCCTAGAGCACTTGCATGGCCAGGAGTCAATAGCAGTTTGTAACTGGCATTGAGAGCCATGTGGTAGCGCTCTGGGAAGGGAGATCTCTTGTTTACCCTTTGCTGTTTTATTGTGCTGTACTGCTGAATCAAGCTGTCTGTGACTAGGCCTTGTTTTGGATCTCAGGATAAATCAACTGCAGCATCACTTTCCACGAAGAAAATTCTGCTCTTTTCTGCTGAGTCGTGCTGTTCTTAGCCTTCCCTGTCTGTAGAGCTGTTTGATCGGGAGAGAAAAGTCAAAATGTGAGCTGATGGGCATTGTGGAGGTTGATTGCTCAATTTGTCTGCCAGTAATGCTTCGTTAAATTGATTCTGAATACGTGACCTCTCCTGACCAGCTCTGACTGTGTTTGTGTGCAGGTTGTGTGTGGGCAGGACCACAGTCTGTTCAGAACCAAGAAAGGGGCAGTCTATGCGTGCGGCTGGGGAGCTGATGGACAGACAGGTAGGAGCTCAGCTCGCGTTCCAGTGCGTGGATGGATGTAGCAGCAAGCTGTTGTCATTCGGAGCTTATGCTGTTTGTCTGTCGGGCACGTGTGGGCAGAAAGGGGCTGGTGTGTTTCCAGCTGTGTGCAGATGTTCTCAATACTCTTGTGTAACCAAATGGGGACAAACCAGTTCAATTTTAGAGGAGCTTTAGCATGCCGTGCTGGCAATCTGAGGAGAATGTGTCCGCTGCTTAAAGCTCCTGAGGGATGTGGAGGTGGCACGGGAAGAGCCTCCCTGGTTCTGTGCAGGCTTTGCCTTCCCGATTCTCGTTTTGGGGTCTGTTTTGCTTCTTGCTCCTTTTGAACAGAGACCTTTGGCAGCTACCGTTGTCTTAGTGTGGGATCTTTGGGCAGGCCCTTGGCTTCTGCTGTCAAAGAACTTCCTCACAGTTCTTCCTACTGTTTAGTCCTCCTGCTGCTCCTGAAGCTGGGTTCTTCCCACAGTTCTCTTGTGTGGACATACTGGAGCCCATCTGGTTTCTGTCATCTACATTCTGGCCTCTTTTCCAGGCAGCTCTTTTTCATGTAAAGTGTTTGCTTCCCAGCCTCTTCTGCCACTTCACCTGCTGTGGTCCAAACCGATCGCAGTGTGCTGTCACTCATGGCTTTCCTTGCAGGAGACAGGACGCAGCTTCACTCCTGTCGGGATACCTGCCAGACTTGGTTACTGCGCTCTTAAACGCTTTGATCCATGCAGGAAAGAGAGATGAGGTTGCTTTTTTGTTTTGCACTCCAGAGAGGCAGCTTTGGCTGGTAGAACTGGTGTTTGTGGCTGCTTGTCCATTGAAGCTGGTAGTTAAGAGATACGGACGGAAAGATTTCTTCTGGGGGAAGGGCGATTGGGCTATAACATGGCAAAATGGTCCTGTGTAGGAGTTACAAGTATGTCTGGAAAAAAAATTCTTCTTTATCTCCCTACTTTTTTTTCCTTTCAGGTCTTGGACACTACAACATCACCAGTGTTCCGACTAAGCTACGTGGTGACATTGCCGGAGTAAACATTATCCAGGTCTCTTCTTACGGGGACTGTTGTCTGGCTGTTTCGGATGAAGGAGACGTCTTTGGTTGGGGAAACTCAGAATACTGGCAGTTGGCATCTGTCACAGAAACCACACAGGTCAGTTGGCCTTGGGGTGTGTTTTTACGTGTTTCAGTTCAGCTGCTGCACACAGAGTTAAAAATTACACACTTCTCCCTGCTTTGGGTTCTTCTGACAGCAGTGTAAATCAATATAAACTAACACCACTAGCAGGCTGGTTTTACCTATGCTTACAAAACCAGTCTGTCTGGAATGTTTGTGTAGCTTGTTTCCCAGCTGTTGATAGGCAAAGGCTATTGTCCCCTCAGCCCAGTTTGTTAGTCTGTTATAAAGGAAGAGCACACCCCATGTTCTCCTTTCCCCATCCCATGGACTTTGCACCAAATTGAGACTTTGCACCAAACTGAGATCTAGCTCAAGGGCTTGTGCTGGGTTCGGGACAGGAATTAATCTTTTGGCTGGTTAATCTAGAACTTTCATCTGGTCCTGCGTTGAGCATGGTGCTAGTCCAGATGACCCTTGTAAGTCCCTTCCAATCAACCCATATGTTGGTGAATTTTTTGTGAACAACCCGAGCAGGTTTCTAGCTGAATCCTAAAAAAGTCCCAGTGTCTCACAGATAAAAGCTTTTTGGAGCAAACTTGTGCGGGACAAAAATACAGTCCATGACTGGACACGAAGTGTTGTAATACTGAGGTAATTGGGCAGGTGGGATCCTGTTACTGTTAGTGTAGGAAATGGAGTCAGGGAGTTAATTAATACTCTGGCTATTCTTGACAGAAGGCTAAGAGCAAACAATTGCATTAGTGTGGTGTTAGTAAAATATGTACCTTTGTTCCCCATGGCTCTCCTGATGCAGGGCTAATCACCGAGACCCGTAAGGCGTGAAGACAGTGACCAGGTTAAATAGTGTAGGAGTTTCCTGGCTGGGTGCTCAATGGAGGTCAGATGAAATGGATGAATGAATGCTTACTAAAGTGGGAGTTTTAGGTACAATATAGATGAAGTCCAAATTGGGGAGTAGCAGAGCTGGATATTATCTGTGAAATCCGAGGTCGTTGTTTACTTGTGTCAAGCTCTGTAGGTTTCTGTTGTTGAACTGTACCGAATAGGAGTGATTTTCTTTGAGTGGTTTTTCCCTGGTATGTTCAAAAATGCCACCGCAGACCAAACTGTGGAGATCTTATCCATTGTGAACGTGCTCGCGTGCTGGCTTTCCCGTTGTGTCTGACTTGCAGAGCCAGGAATATAAGCAGATGTTAAGTGTTTCCAGCTTTGTTGCCATGCGTGTAGGCTTTCCTGTGGGTAACTTTGTCCACACTCTCAGCCTTAATGAATTTCTTGGCTTTTTGCATTCGTTCTGTTATCCAAGCAGTAAAGTTGTCAGCATCAGGAATTCAGTGTCTGTAAGCTCTGACCAGAACTAGAGAACTAGTGAAAGGTGTGTGTCTAGTTTGCAGTTTACCTTGTCTGAAACAACGCTCTTGCAACCCCATACAGGTGAATGTTCCCAGGCATTTGCCATTCAAGATTGGGAAGATAAAGGAGGCTGCGTGTGGAGGGACTGGCAATATTGTGCTAACGGGTGAGTTCGCTTTTACAGTCATCCTCTTCAGTGCAAGGCCGTGCAGTAGGTGGGTTGTAACATCATGGGGCAAGATCTTATTTACTGGAAACAGGAAAGTACTGTCTATTATGAGGAAAGATGGGAGACTGAGAAACCCACAGGCTTAAGGATGGGCTAGGGGAGTTGTTTTCACTAGCCGAGCATCCAGTACGTGCTGTTGTGAGGGCTTATGCAAACTGGAATGGGAGCATGGTAGCTGCTTGCAGTTCTGGTCTTGTTTGCTGATCACACGGGCCGTGTGTGGCCTATAAGGAAGATGTATGTAGGGAGGAAGTAAGGCAACACTTGAGAGGAAGAAGAGCCCTTCAGACTCAATGTAAATCTGATGTGTAAACAAACCTTGATAAACCAGGCTGCGAAGTAGAGAGTTCTGAGAACGGTGAAGCTCTGCAGCAGACGTCATGGTGAATGCTGCTTTGGGTTGTCAGGGGCCGGGGGAGCACAGCTTGGAAGTGCTGAGTGAAGGAATGAGGGAGAGGACGGTACTGTTATGAAGGATCATCTCAAGGAAGATGTTCGTATATAGGGTGCAGCTGTGATGACAAGACATTTGAGCTTCCAGCGCGAAGGGAGCAGAGCCAGCAGGCTTACCAACTTACTCTGTCTTACGCTGTCCAACCGCTGCCTTTCTGAGGCACCCAGTTTAAGGCAGAATGCCAGGTGGAGCGACTGGCCTGCTGCTGGTTTGGCCATGCCTCAAAGGAAAAAGCAATAATAATAAAAACGCTCAACCTTTGTCCCATCAGTCAGTCAGCTCCAGTATTTTATCCAGCTCACACTGCGTTGGCATTATTTCCCCATGAAAGTTTTGCCTGTGAAGCTTGATCTGCTCGCACAGCTTAGGGAAAACTTAAGATGTTTGGATAGGAATGCGTTGTTTGCAAGTTTTAAATAATCAAAAGGTGCTAGACTGCTCTGGGAGAAAGGAAAATGTCCCTTTGGATCTGATTAACTCCTGGTTATGGCATGAATTTCACAAGCACAGACTTACTTACAGAATGTGTTCTTACTGTGATACAGAAGAAGGAAATGTTTTTGTCTGGGGATATGGAATTCTTGGGAAAGGACCAAACCTAATAGAGACAGCAGTGCCAGAGATGATCCCACCCAGCCTTTTTGGCTGGTCAGACTTGAATCCGGACATCCGTGTTGCTCACGTTCGCTGTGGACTCAGCCAATTTGCGGCACTTACAAGTAAGTTTCTAGCCCCCCTGTCATGGAGAATTCACGCTGCCGTATTATTGGCAGTTAAAAACAAAAAGGGCACTTGTCTTTCTTTAGACTTAAAGCATGCTGGAATGCAGCAGGAGGGGCAGGCAGCATAGTTTGCAGGTGTCAGCATGGTTTCTTTCCAATATAGGTACTGCACTCAGTTATGCTTTAATTAAGGAAATGTTATCCTTCTAAAGCAAACAAAAAAAATCCTCTCAAAGAGGAAACCTGGGAAGGTTTTTTTCATTTTCTTGTACAGAATAAGTCAGTCAGTTGCACTTCAGAAGCAGTAGGAATTTATGTGATAAATGAAGAAACTAAACCCAAGTCTAAATCAGAGCTAGATGTCAGGGTCTTGGCTCTTCTGACCCACTGAGTTAGCAAGCTGAGGTGGGAAGACCCACACATCTAACGTGCCAAGGGTGTGATACTCTGGTATGTACACCCTGGACTTGGGATCGGCCTTCAGAGGAAGTTTTGAATTTGAAAGTCGTTTAAGAATGGGCAGCAGAGGGCAGCAGCACAGGAACCCCGTGCGCTTGGTAGTGAAAGTAATAGTTTACTAATGAAAAGTGCCAGGTGCCGACTTGTGTGGCCCTTCTTGGGGAGGGGGTAGGCGTGATGCTGTCCGTCCAGTGACAGGGTGCTTGTAGCTGGTCTCCCCTCGTATTGAGGAAGAGTTAGAAGCTGCGTTCCGATTAAATTGTGGTTTGGTTGTCTCTGCTGTGGGGCTGATCTGAGCACTTCTGAGATCTGCATGTTTTGCTGAGGAGCTTAAAACGCTCCGATTCTGTTCAACACAAGTATTTTCTTTTCCCCAGTTGTCATTAGAAGGTCACTTCTGTCAGGCAGCTGAATAACCAGTCCCCAGGTGATGGCTTGGGACAGATTTCACTGCCTTGCTTACCCCATTTGCTGCGCTGATAGCTGATGCGGGTTAGCTGTCTAACTTCCAGCACAAATGATTCACTTCACCACAGATGATTCTCTGGAATCTCTTCTGCTGCCCTCTTTCTTTGAATAGAATTCCAAAGCAAGAGCTGTAAGAGGGGCAAGCGAAGCCTTGTGCCCAGAATTTGCTGCTTGTACTGCTCATTAGGCATCCTTTTCCCTAAGCACAAGTTCATTTGTTGTACTCGGAACTAAACTCAAGTGGTTTCATCCTGCATGTATAACCCTTTATACTCCCAGAAGCACTGTAGCCATACTTGCCAGCACCACAAATAGAATTCTTCTTTTTTAATGATTCTGCCCTTTTTTAATTCTTTTTTTTCCTTGTATAGACAGAGGAGAACTGTTTGTGTGGGGCAAGAATCTAAGAGGGTGCCTGGGAACTGGAAGACTGGAAGACCAGTATTTCCCGTGGAGGGTAAGGATGGTAGTATTAAGGCCAAGAGTATATTCCTTAGCTAGTCTTTGTTATCCTGAGGGCAGGAAACATCATTTGTGGTGTAGTTTTGTTGAGTAATTTTGAAAGAAGTGGAAGCCTAAGGTGGCTGTAGAACTGCTTTGTTTTCCAGAGGTCCTTGTGCAGCCTGCTTAGGGGTGGAGGTATTCAGTAAATATTTAGTCTGGTATTTCAGGATCAATTTCAGATGCCAAAGGCACATCTGGTGCTGTGCCATCACATCTGAATAGTTCTTATTTCACTCCTGTTCAGTCTTCTACCTGCTACCCCTTACTGCCTCTTCCCTCCCCTTCTAACCTGCGCTTCACTTTGGTACGTGCTGCAAAGCAAACCACCAGTATTGGTCATCTTGCATTACACATCTAGATCGGGTGAACGTTTGGCCGTGGTGGTCAGGCTGTAGTGGCAGCAGGTCCGCACAGCAGTGGGCTTCCTTCCCCTGCTCCTCTTCCAGTCAGGCAGCTGGGGTGATGGGTTGCTGGGCTGGCTGTGTAGTTACAGTAGGAGATCCTTAGCCACTGGGCTGTTTCCAGAGCTGTTTCGCAATGCTTCCAGTTCCACTCCCTCTTCTCAGATGGCTCTGCGAGTTCAGCACTCAGCCTAACAGATGTTCCCACTCTCCATGAAGGCCAAGTGGGAGAGGAGGGAGGCAGTTGGACCACCCTGGAGTCCCTTCCCATGTGTCTGAACTTGCAGGGGATGCGTTTCCTTAGCATGCTTTCTTCTCTTTTAAAAATGGATTAAAAAAGACCACCTCTAGAGCATTTGCCTAAAATCACACTGCTGTGGCTGACTGGAGTTTCTGAATTCACCAAGCGTGGTATGTCCAGGTTTCCCCAAGTGTGGACATCGAGGCTGATGCTCCCTCAAACAGCCAGCTCCTGTCTGACACTGCTATGGCAATGTACCAAACCAACGGCAGTTTCCAGGAGACTTGCCTGTGACCTCCTGCCCTAGAACTTGCCATCTCTTCTCTCCCTTAGCTCCAAGGCAAAACTTGTGTGTTTAAACTCAAGGAAAGCAGAGGCTAAAGTCAGCTTGAAGTGAGAGAGCTGTAACTACACCAGCGAGTGAGCTGGGTCTGCTTAGCATCAAGGCAAAAACTGCCTTAGGCTGAGTTGAGCTTTTGCCTCGTTCCAGTCCTTGCGGATGAGAGAAGAGGCAAATCCTTGTGGTTCCTGGGCAGATCCTCTTCCTGCTGTCTGGATTATGCTCTGTTTGGTCATGCTGTTTCTGCTGCTGAACAGATGGGCTGAGGCTACGGCCTCCTCGCTGTCTGCTGGTGAGCTGTCCCTTTGTGTCCTTCCAAAGGGCTACGTGCTCCTGTGAAGGCAGAAGGGGAGTATTTCGCAGCTCGCTGCACAGGCATGTCTGCTGCTGAATCTTGGTTTCTCTGGGTTTTCAAGGTGGCACTTTGATTGGTACAAGTCCCTGTAAAACCAACAGGCATGTCGAGCAGAAGGAGGATGAGAAATAGAAAGTATCAGGTGCAAAGTACCAGCTTGAGCGATAATCCCCTCTTGTGTGTCTGATCCAGGTGACTGTGCCCGGTGAGGTGGTGGATGTTGCGTGCGGAGTTGATCATATGGTAAGCATGGTTAAGTCTTTTACCTAGTCCTGTTGCTGGGCCTCAGCACTGTGCTAAGAAGATGGGGGCACTTGGTGACAAGCTTCTTGGAAAGGAAGACCCATCCTGTGAAGCCATGCAAGAAGTGACTGTGAGCAGAGACAGCCGTGGCAGCGCCAGGGTGTGTTGTCATCTCTGCGTCGTTGGAACACTCCAGCCTGGCTGTGGGAAGGAAGGAACGTTTCCTGAGGAGAGTGGAAATGCAGGGAGTGCTCTGGCTGGTTCCTGGTGAGCTCCCAAAGAGTCTGAGGCCCGGCCCACAGCTGGTGAGTCCTGCCATGTCTGAGGATGAAGAGCATCTCCCGCGGGGACGGCTGGCACAAGATGAAATCTGTAGCACAGGACGTTCATTTATGGACACTTTCCCTGTCACCAGCGCTGGCCTGTCAGTGTTGGGCTGAGCCAAACTATTTCTCAGGGGAAAGGGTTTTTTTATAACTACTTTTTTACATGGAAGAAAAATCATGCTGGCTGTCAGAGTCCAGCGCAGCTGTCCTGTCCTCCCTGTCCGCCACCAGCTGCGCTCTGCCTGGGCCGCTGTTGCGTGCAGAAGCTGGATGCCGGCCTGGCCTGGAGACAGCGGCGTGCTCTGACCCCAGGCTTTGCGTATGGGCTCTAAAGGCTGGAACGTGCTGGTTAAACTGGATGAGTGGGAACTTGCTGGTGGGGGGAAGCACCATTAAACAGGGCAGCACAGAAAGACACCCCCAGGCTGGACCTGCTTGCAGAGGAGGGCTGGAGCCAGCGGTCCCTGCGGGGGCAGTGCTGCAGCCATGGACGTGACCAGCGCTCGCTGCTCATCAAGTACTTCGGCCCTGTGTGCTGATACAAGCTCCTGCCTTCGGGGTTTTTTTGGGAAGTCCCTGTGCCCTTTCTGCCTTTGGGGGCGTGGTGGCTATCGTTGCGAAGAGCCCTTTTACATTAGCCAGGCTTTTGGGTAGTGCCTAGCGGGGGAAGGAGTCTTAATGGACAAGCAGCAGGGCCTTGTCTCTTGGCAGAGGAGTTGTGGAGGACGCAGGGAGCTGACGGAGGTGGGATGCACCAGCTGCAGGTACTGTAGCAGGTGCTTACCCAATCTCACCCTGAAGTGTGGGAAACCATCTCCTTGAAACAGGGGTTGTATCATTTCTCTCTGTGTGGGATGCTTCTAATGTGTAAATTATTTTGGCAAAATCCAAGCTAGTACGTTTTTAATAAAGTGATTATAAAGTCTTTATCAGTAGTAATGGGAATATTCTTGAGCTTGACTTCAGACAAGCTGCTCTGTCTTGCACTCAACATTTAAATGTAAGCATTGGGGTTCACAGGAACCGTCTTCTGTCAGCTGGGACACCCCTGCAGGACCACTGCTGTTGGAGGCAGGCACTGTATCCACAGACCCACTCCCAGTTTGGCTCCGTTAGCTGGAATTCTGTATCAAATCTGTTGTGTAATTACCAAAACTCAGGGGCTGAAGTCTGCCTTGCTGAAATGAATCTTGAAGGACTTTGTACAGAACACAGGCAAGGTGAAACCAGCAGAAGGAGGCACATACTGGTTGTTACTCCAGTTACTGTGTAACTGGTATCGCTGTGGTGCGTGGAGGCAGAGCAAGCAGAAAGCTGCTGTTAAATCACAGCAGCCCTTCAGCGCCGTGAATTCCCAGTAAGGCAGCTTTCATTTGTACCTCACTGGACATGCCACGGGGGCGACTCGAGCTGCCCGAACGTGTCTTGTTGGCCTCATGGGGGTAGCTGTGCCCTTTTAACAGGAGGAGGCTTATTAAAGCATTGGAAATACAAACCCCGCCGGTAAAAAGCTGCTACAACCGATTCCCTGTGCGGGTGTTGCTGTTGCAGGAGGGCTGCAGGGGGTGGGGGGTTAGTGCTGGGGGGCGCTGCGGGCTTGCAGCTGCTCTGGTTCACCCCTCCTGCCTGAGGCGCTCGGGGCTGGGGCTGTTGGAGAGCTGGGATGGGAATTAAGGCCGTGTCGTACCTGGTTGTGTTGCAGTCTTGCTGTGCAATAAATTGCAAAATCTGTGTGTTAATTAGATGCCAGCAAGGTCTTTAAGCCCTAAATAGAAGTGTTGTGTGCCTCAGTGCAGTGGGAGTGTTGGCACTTTCATTACAGCGGCTGGGGGCATTCTCCAACGTGCTGCTTGGTGGGGATGAGGTTAGCAGCAGAGAGCCCACGGGCTGCAGCACCAGCACTGACCCCTGTTTTGGTTAAAGTGGGGGTAGGGGGTGACCTGGGCCAGGTGCCCACCAAGCTGCTCTGTCACTCTCCCTCCCTCAACAGGACAGGGGGAGAAAATACGATGGAAAGCTTGTGTGTTGAGATAGGTCAGGGAGGTCGCTTGCTGGTTACCGTCACGGGCAAAACAGAATCGACTTGGGGAAATTAATTTATTGCCGACGAAAGGGAGCAGGGTAATGTGGAATAAGAACAAATCTAAAAACGCCTCTCCCCCACCCTTCCCTTCTTCCCAGGCTCAACCTCACTCCTGACTTTTCTGCCTCCTCCCTCTCCTTGTTCACTGACCTTGGTGTCTGCCTGGTTGTTTCTCACATACTCTCGCTCCTCTCTCCCAGCTGCTGTTGTGCAGCAGTTTTTACCCCTTAAATGTGTTCTCACAGAGTCGCTGTCGCTGATGGGCTTGGCCTTGGCCAGGGGCAGGTCTGTCCTGGAGCTGGGTGGAACTGTCTCTGCCTGACAGGGCAGCAGCTCCTCGTGTCTGCTCCCAGAAGCCACCCTGCAGGCCCCTGCTACCAAAACCTTGCCACTCGGTGCAAGCGGGCATTGCTGACAGGACCTGATCCACCAGCTCAGGCTGGCGTGGGTCCAGAGCCGTTAGCGAGGCCGCGGCAGCGTCATTCCGTTACTCACAGCGACGTGCGCGACTTGCAAAGGCAGATACAGCCCGAGACCTGCAGGCCCAGCACCGCCGCACCGCCTCCCGGCGTGTTTGCCTTTGCTCAGCGGTTCTGTACAGAGGGCTCAGCACGCACAGGGACAGGCAGAGCCGCCAGGGTGGTGACAGACGTAGTGGGGCACTGCACCGCGTGTCCTTGGCTGGGCAGAGACCTGCCTGGGCGGGCAGCACAGGTTGTCCTGCTCGTGGGGTGGCTGGGTGGGTAGGATGGGTCAGCAGAAGCCCGAAGAGGCAGCATAGCTGGATGTAAAATACATTCTCTCTCTCTTTTTTTTTTAACACGCCTAACTGTAACCCCAATGAGGCAAACATCTGCGGCTGCGTGGTTGTGTCCCCTCCGTCCCTGCCAGGGCAGAGCTGTGGCCAGGCTGCAGGAGCCCAGCAGACCCTCGCTAACGAAAAGTGCCTTGTGTAACCCTCACTCACAACCACCGCTGCCTCCTTTGACATCAGAACCCAGCTCTGTGTTCCCTGCCTGTCAGCTGGTTGTACTCCCCTCAGGCAACAAGCAGGCTGTACTTTCTCTTCCTACGTACCCCAAACCAACCACATCACCCTCCTGGCCGCGAGCAGGGACGGCCTGTGCGCTCTCCGTGCAGCAGGTCTGTGCGAAGCAGCGATCCGAACCGTGGGTGGGTTCGTTGCTCTCCTGCCTCCAGCAAGTCTTGTGTCGCAGCTGAAGTGCTGGCGGGACCCCTCAGGCAACAAGCAGGCTGTACTTTCTCTTCCTACGTACCCCAAACCAACCACATCACCCTCCTGGCCGCGAGCAGGGACGGCCTGTGCGCTCTCCGTGCAGCAGGTCTGTGCGAAGCAGCGATCCGAACCGTGGGTGGGTTCGTTGCTCTCCTGCCTCCAGCAAGTCTTGTGCCGCAGCTGAAGTGCTGGCGGGACCCCCTGAGCTCGTGGTCACCTGGGCTGGAGCTGCCGGTCCCAGGTTGCTCGGCACGCTCTGCTCTTGCACCAGCAGGATGTTGGAAGTGCAGGGACGGCTGTGCTGGGCTGCCCTTTCCGCTGGGCGCTGGGGCAAGAGGTCTGAGTGGCAGAGGGTTCCTTGAGTAGTAAGAGAGCAGAACGTCCGCGATGCCGTGTTTTCTGATGGCTGGCATCGTGCTGGGAAGGGTGAAGTGCCGGAGGGAGAAGGGTGGTGGTCGCAGCGCCAGCTCTGCAGCAAAGGGCAGGGGTAGGGGGGTGCTGGCTTCAGCGCCAGCTGGGCTGAGCTGCCGTCCTGCCCCGCAGCCCTGCAGTCCCAGCGCGCGTCGGGAAATCCTCTGCTCCCTGCGAGCCTTCAGCCTGCAACGCGCAGTAAACGCTA